TTTTAATTGCTACAGCTATGCTTAATGTTTGGTGAATCCCTATTGTTTTATTAACAGAATTCTCTTTCATTCTAGTATTATCTCTGTTTTTGGCAGGCTCTTTAAAAAACACCATTTGGATTTTGTTTTTGTTTTGTTTTGTTTTGTTTTTGAGTTGGAGTCTCACTCTGTCACCCAGAGTGGAGTGCAGTGGCATGCTCCCATCCACCGTAGCCTTGACTGCTGGGCTCCGGCGACCCTTCCGCCTCAGCCTTCCAAGTAGCTGGAACTACAGGCGCACGCTACCACGCTTGGCTGATTTTTTGATTTATTGTAGAGATGAGGTCTCGCCAAGTTGCCCAGGCGGGTCTCGAACCTGCGGGCTGAGGCAGTCCACTCACCTCAGCCTCCCAAAGCGCGGGATTAGAGGTTGAGCCTCCGAGCCCGGCTGCCATTTTACTTTTGAGTAGCAGCACGTTGAATTTGTAAATGAGAGTTGTCTTTAGTAATATTTCCATGTCATGTTGTCATAATATCCTAAATTGAAGCATTAGGAAATAAGAGGGATTGCAAGGAAACAGCGTCTGTCTCTTCAAAGCTCCTTTTGATGTCTTACTGCTGCTTTTGTTTTTGAGTTGGAGTCTCACTCTGTCGCCCAGACTGGAATGCAGTGTCCACTCCTGGCCACCACAGCCTCGACCTGCTGGGCTCTGGCGATCCTTCCGCCTCAGCCTTTCAAGTGGCCGGAATTACAAGCATGCGTTACCATGCCCGGCTGATTTTTTGATTTATTGTAGAGATGAGGTCTCACTGCCCAGGCGGGTCTTGAACCCGCAGGCTCAGGCAATCCACTCACCTCAGCCTCCCAAAGGCGCGGGATTACAGGCTGAGCCACCGAGCCCGGCTTGGTTTTTTTTGTTTTTGTTGTTTTTTTGAGTTGGAATCTCACTCGGTCGCCCAGACTGGAGTGCAGTGGCCACTCCCGGCCACCGCAGCCTCGACCTGCTGGGCTCCGGCGATTCTTCCGCCTCAGCTTTCCCACTACCCAGAATTACAGGCATGCGCTACCACACTCCGCTGATTTTTTTGATTTATTGTAGAGATGAGGTCTCGCTGCCCAGGCGGGTCTCGAACCCACGGGCTCAGGCAATCCACTCACCTCAGCCTCCCAAAGGCACGGGATTACAGACCGCGCCACCGAGCCCGGCTTACTGCTGCTTGTTATTCCAGGGAAATGATTTAGTGTGATACGGTTAATGCTTTTGTTTTCCTGGTAATGTAATGCTTAAACTAAGCAAAAAATGAAGTCTGTAGCTTGCTGGCTCGTCAAGCTTCTTTTAGGCTTTCCTTTTTCTCTCCCATTTTTTCAGGCATGTCTCAGTTAATGATATTTCTACTAATCAGTTCCCCAGTGTATTACAGCTATCTTCTTTTGTGGTGAATTAAACACAAATACCAGACTATCAGAATTTCTGGTTTGTTTTTCATTGTTTGAATTCCAAAACTTGGGGCATTGTAGATGGTAACGTGGTAGATAATTGTAGTTTTAAGATATAAAGAAAAAGGAAAAAAAAGTAAAAGTTACATTTAATAATAATTATTCAGAATATGACTTTCTGAATGTTAGAGGAAATTATTTAAGGAAGGCATAGTGAAATCTATTATAGGTCACTTGTTCTCTTTTTTCCCAATAATTTCTTATCTGTAGCCTCTTTGAAGTATGCATTAAAAACATCTTTTAAATTTTTCCTTACAGTGCATGTAAAATAATTTGAGTGCAAGTACATGACAGATCTTTATGTCGACTAGTGATTATTTGAAACAGAAGTGTTAACAAGTTGGGGAGACTAAATACATTGAATACTGCAGTTACTAAATGTACTGTAGGCCGGGCTCAGTGGCTCAGCCTGTAATCCCACGCTTTGGGAGGCCAAGGTGAGTGAATTGCCTGCGCCCGCGGGTTCGAGACCTGCCTGGGCAACATGGCGAGACCGCATCTCTACAATAAATTATTATTATCTCTGTAATAATTTTTATACCATTGTGGAAATCTAAGTAAGCTGACTGGTTCAAAACAATTTGTGGACTTAATATTTTTATTTCTAGATTTGGTCTTTTTGAAGTTATGTCTGCTATTGAAATGATGGCTCCCAAGATGAATGCTAGCATGATTGGAAACCAAGTTAATCGAAAAGTTCTCAACTTTGACCAAGCTATCAAGGTAGCCACTTCGTACTTCTTGTGTTTTCTTTCATCTTTTATTATTTCGTATGTTAAAACTTCGTGCTTAATAATGAAATCAACTTATATATTAACTTAAAGAGAATATCCTTAAAAGTATCTCAAGTATATAAACAAGAATTAGTTGTAACCCTTATTGCATACCTCTGTCTCTTAAAATCTGGAAATTGTTTGAGGTCTTCATTAAAAACTTTCTTGCCGGGCTCGGTGGCTCAGCCTGTCGTCCTAGCACTTTCGGAGGCTGAGATGAGTGGATTTCCTGAGCCCGCCTGGGTCTTTTGGTGAGACCTCATCTCTACAATAAATCAAAAACTAGCAGGACGTGATAGCGCGTGCCTGTAGTTCCAGCTACTTGGAAGGCTGAGGTGGAAGGATCGCCGGAGCCCCGCAGGTCGAGGCTGCGGTGGCCCGGAGCATGCCACTGCACTCCAGTCTGGCCGACGAGTGAGACTCTACTTTAAAAAAAAACAAAAACAAAAAAACTTTCTCTATCAGTATCTGATTTGGGAATTTTTTTTTTTAAAAAAGAAGCTTTCACTAGTTTTGTACATTTGTGTTTTTTAAGCCTTTCAAGTAGTTGGAACAACAGGCATGCGCAACCACACCTGGCTAATTTTTTTGTTTTTTTAATTGTAGAGATGAGGCTTAACCAAGTTGCCCAGACTGGTCTCGAGCTCGTGAGCTCAGGCAGTCCTCTCACCTTGGCCTCCCAAAATGCTGGGATTATAGGTGTGAGCCACTGTGCCTATCCCATTTGTGTATTTTTAGAATTAAATTTTGAAAGTTTGTATATTCAAACAGCAAGATAATTGGCTTAGAGATTCAATTGCATGCATTAGTTAATTAATTGATTAATTTTTTTTTTTTTTTTAGTGCCCCAGACTGGAGTGCAGTGGCCACTCCTGGCCTTGACCTGCTGGACTCTGGCGATCCTTCCGCCTCAGCCTTCCAAGTAGCTGGAACTACAGGCATGCGCTACCATGCCCGACTAATTTTTGATTTATTGTAGAGGTCTTGCCAAGTTACCCAGGGGAGTCTCGAACCTGCAGGCTCAGGTGGTCCACTCACCTCAACCTCCCAAAGTGCTGGGATTACAGGCTGAGCCATGGAGCCTGGTTTGCATGCATTAATTTAAATTGCCACAAGTAAAGTACTTGTGGTAGTGAATTTAAGATTTAATCCTTGAGTATTGATTTGGACATTTATTTATAGTTTCAACAGAGTTTAAATTTGCATATTTTATAAAGAAAGATTTACTAAGCGAATGGATATTTTAAAGAAACTTTACAAGTGGTATAGTTAAACAACTGAAGTGAAATGTTTTTAAAACTAATCACTTTTTTAAAAGTAGTTTTAAAGCATTAAAATCATTCCTATTTCTTAATGCTTAAAACTGATTTGAGCTGTGCTTCTAAAATACTTGTTGATTTGTCTTTCCATTTAATTATAAAGCTCTTTTTTTTCAAATGAGAGAGGCTTTGATTTTTCTTATTGAAGATCTGTTTAAGATATATTGTTTTTACAATTATTATTTGTCAATTAAAAATTTTAAAAAAGATACGTTGTGTTTAAGAATACATAATTAGGCCAGGCAGTGGTGTCTTAAGCCTGTAATCCCAGCACTTTGGGAGGCCAAGGCGAGAGAATTGCCTGAATCCAGGTTTGAGACCAGCCTGGGCAACTTGGTGAGACCTCGTCTCTACAATAAATTAAAAAATAAGCTGGATGTGGTAGCGCTAAACTGTAGTCCCAGCTACTTGGAAGGCTGAGGCAGAAGTATCACCTGAGCCCTCCTGGTCGAGGCTGCGGTGACCGTGAGTGTGCCACTTGCATTTCAACCTGGGTGACAGAGTGAGCCTTTGACTCAAAAAAAAAAAGAATACATAATTAATTTTGTGTCTTCGTTTTATCAGCTAAGGTAGTATTTTTTTGGAATTGCCATTTAAAAATATTAGATGTTTGAAATTCAACATTTTAAAAAAGTTCTGCCTGTATGTCATAGTTTCTTTCCTTTTTAGGATGGCACCATTAAAATTAAAGATCTCAACTTGCCTGAACTGATAGGGATAATGGATACATGTTTTTGCTGTTTGGTAAGAATTAAAATAAGACTGTTGATCAATTTTAAAGATATGACTTATTTGACTTTAGGATTTAAAAGCCTATACAACAAGGTGGTATATGAAATATACGTAATACTGGGCCTACTAAGATGTATGTAAGCTTAACTGGCTGTGGCCAGGTGTGGTGGCTCACACCTATAATCTCATTACTTTGGGGGTGGAGGCAGGAGGATTGCTTGAACCCAAGAGTTTGAGACCATTTTGGGCAATGTTGCTGGGCATTGCCTCTACCTCAAAAAAAAAAAAAAAATTAGCCAGGCCTGGTGGTGCATAGCTGTAGTTCCAGCTACTCCGCAGGCTGATGTGGAAGGATCGCCGGAGCCCACAAGATCGAGGCTGCAGTGAACTGTGATCACGCCCCTGCACTCCAACTTCGGTGACAGAGTGAGATTCCAACTCAAAAAAAAGGAGAAAAGATTAGAAGGCCAGGTTGCGCCCCAGGAAACAGCATTTCTTTTCATCTACCAGAGGGACCCAAAAAAACCTGGAATTATTTTTTGGTGGGCGGGCCCCTTGTAATACAGATTGCCTCACTTGCTAAGTGTTCCAGGAACCCATTGGCATTAGTGTGCCAGCTAGCTTTGTGGGAGGCTTCGTTTGGCTTCAGTGAGCTTTTTTTTTTTGAGATTTTTATGTGTGTTGGCCCGTTTCATGATGGGTGATTTAAGAACGCACTTGCTCATAATGCGCTTAGTGTTCAGCAGTTTTTGACCAAACATGGCATGAACGCCGTATTCACTCGATCTTGCCTTGGGTGATGTTTTTGGCGCCCCAGATGAAAAAAGTCCTCAAAGGGGAATGTTTTGCCAACGTGAAGGATGTGAAACAAAAAATGGCAGAAGCACTGAAGGCGTCAAAATTGACAAGTTCAAAAACTGTTTGAGTAGTGGAAAAAGCGTCTCCATAGGCGTATTGCATCAAACGGAGCGTACTTTGAAGGGGACTGCTGATGTTTAAACATGTAGGAATGGATACACAATTTTTTTAATAAATTCTGGGTTTTTTGGGTCTCCCCTCGTATGTGATCTTATGTTCTCCTTTTCTGGATGAAGGGATATTTTCTTTTCAGTGAAGATAATATTATAGCCATTATCCATAATATCCTTATTGTTCTCAAGATACCCAGGAAATAAATCTGTAATTAGAAGTTTCCATGAATAAGCATGGACTTGAAACAAAGGGAGCTTGTAAATGACTTTGGAGAGTTTTTTCTAATCTGGGATAAACGGTAGAAAACTGGCCATTGTCTACTGTGAAGAAAGTTGTTTAGTGATTTGTATATGCTGGATATATGTCTTCCCTAGATAGTATTGTTTAATTGTGGAAAAGTTCTCATTTGTACTGGTCCCCACCCCCTGACCAACCATTCCATTCTTTTTAAGTTGATGTTGTCATCATCCTTAGAAATATATAAAATTTGTTCATCATTTATTGGTTGATTGGCACTGTGTATATAGCGTAGTTTTATTGGGTGTTTTACATGTGTAATTTTCACTTAAGGTTTTACATCAGCTTTAGTAGATATCTGTAGTATCTTACTCGCCTGCAGTTAAATTACTAGGAAGGTGCCTACCCAGAATCCTAATCTTGATCCTTTGTCCCCCAAAACTGTCTCTTTCCCTCAAAAAATCTTTATTACCTTTAAGCAGTTTACAGTCCTAATAGGGTAGGGAAGGGAGTCAGAGAATTGCTGGGGACAGACAAGTAAAGAAACAATTCTGACAATATGTAAATTCTTGGATAATGATGCTTTTGGGACAGATAGGAAGAGGACAGATAGGAAGAGGTAAGCCTGTAGAAAGGAAGTGCCACTGCTATGAGATACTGAAAAATGGTAGATGTATGTCAGGGAGATCGATAGCTTTGCAGGCAGAAAGGGTATATTGGATAGACATGGCAATTTGAAAATGCTCATTTTGGAAAGTTATGAACAGCAGCTTATGGCTGAAATCTGGCAGGGAGCCAAGTGGAAGGAGTGTGGAACTCGTGGAGAGTGGTGGGAAAGAAGGGAAGGCTAAACAGGGAAGATTTTTGCCAAATTTGAGGAACTAGTCTATGAGACTCTTGGGAATGTGTTTAAAAACGTAGGTTTTACAAGCAGATGGTTTTTAGCCTGGAAGGTCTTTCTTCTGTCCTAGTTATACTAAATAAACTTCACTATACTAAATACACTTTAATGTTTTTTGCATTCCTTATTTCAAAATCCAGTACATGTCTTGCTCCATTGTAGAATTTTTGAGCTTTAGTGTAAAATATAACTCTGTAAACTTGGACACATTATTTAAACTCTCTTCCTCTGATTCTTCACATGTAAAAGGAAAAACATACCACCTTTCTCACAGTGTCAGGAAAAAACAAGATAAGATAGATGAAAATACCTAGCATAATACTTGGGACATAATGATTACCCAATTTGGGCTATTTTTGGTATTCTCGATCTCTAGCACGTGGTGTCATGCATATACTAGCTACTCAACAAAATAGTGTACTGCAGAGTGTGATGGCTTATACCTGTAAGACCAGCCTGGGTGACAGAGTAAGACCCTGACTCAAAAAAAAACAAGTGTAGAATTATTATCTTAGTGTTTTAGAAAAATCTCTCTGGTTGGGGGTATTAAATAAGCGCTGGAAGGCAGGAAAACCTGTCTAATTTCTTGCAGTGATCTAAGTGAGATATGATGCTGTTGGCTGGATTAGTGGTGGTGAGGTTAGAAAAGAAACGTTGAGTAAGTGGCTAAGGACCTGGTTAGTTCTAAAATTGTGTATTTCCCAGTTTATGGATTTTTACTGACTACACTGGAATCGATTGCTTTTGGATGCTACATAATTATAGAAGCCTTCTGTTTCATTGATTTCCAGTATGTCCCAAACTTATGTATGGGAATGCTTTCCATAGATAGGAAATCATTTATGTATATGATTTTTAAAAAACTTTAATCAATGAAAGTGAATTCTAACTTGTCTTTTTTAACCTTTTTACTCATTTTTTACATCTTGTTACTAATCTTACACTTGGGTGTGTGACACTCTGGCATTGGGATCACTTTAGACTTTGCAGACTCTGTGTATCTCCTTAAATATGTACACTCTTTTATTTTGTTATAGATAACTTGGTTAGAAGGCCATTCCTTGGCATAGACAGTATTTAGGTACCTTTAAATTCATAATCCAGGCTTTATAGAAGATCCTGCCATGATGGCTTTTGCTCTGGGAATCTTGAAAATCTGTGACATTGCAAGGGAAAAAGTAAAGAAAGCTGCTATTTTTGAAGAGGTAAGATTTTGTAATATAAAAACTTCTGAAGTTTATTGACCATTTTTTTCATTGTGATGTATTTAAATGATTTTATGATACCTATTTTTGTCCAAATATATAGTTAAAAATAATTTTTAAAAGTGATGCTATTACTGTTTGCAGATATACTGG